ATTTTGTTTTCATTATTTCGCTTGAGATTTTTGACCGTTTGTGTCTCTAGATAAATGCTATTATTTTTTCTAATTATATAAAGTAATCCTTTGGTAGTTTGATTAGTATGACACTGAAAAAGTAAATTTATATTGTATTATCATTTTATTATATTGGATCAGCCTATCCATAAGCAATTAATTTTTTTCAAGTTATTTATTTCTACATTTCTTTAAGGAGTGTTTTATAGTAACATTCAAATACTTTCTGCCTATATCTTGTTAGGTAGACTCCCAAGTATTTTATACATTTTATAGTCTTAAAAATATTTTAATAATTCACATTTATCTAACATTTTACATTTCATACTTTACATATCATCTACACAAACTCATTCCATCCTAGCCACAGCACTGTGAGTTACATATATAAAATAATTATTTTCTTCTGGCTATTTTGTAGAAATTTATCAGGAAATTGAAATTCTAAAGAAGTAAAATGGTTTGCCCAGGGTCATAAGACCTGGCATTCAAACTGAAGTCTTTAGTCCAGTGTTTTTACCATAACATTGTACTTCCTGTTTAAGATAGCTCAGAACATTGAATTTGTATACAGAGGAGAGAACAATCTATTTTATTAGTTTCCCCTCCCCCCAAACCAGCTCTAGTTTTATTTATTAATTCAATTGGGGATTTTCACTTTCAATTTTATTAATCTCTTCTTTGATTTTCCAGAATATCTACTGTGGTATTCAGTTGGAGTTTTTTTTTATTTGTTACTTTTCTATTTTTTTGATTGCATACACAATTCATTGATCTGCTTTCTTCTCTCTTTTGTTGACAAAAGTGTTTAGAGATAGAATTTCTCCACTAAGGGCTGTTTCAAATGCATTCCATAAGTTGTCTCATTGTTGTCATTTTCTTTAGTAAAATTTTCTATTTTCTATGATTTTTTTCTTTGATACAACAATTAAACCAGTTTAAAAATTAATTTTAGTCAGTATTTCAAAGGCCTTTTATTAAATATTAATTTATTAAAATAAAGGTCAATAAAGGATTTTTAATATTTTTACTTTTCTGCATTTATTTTCGATGTTTTTATGCCCTAATACAGTTCAGTTTTTGTAAAGGTGACATGCCCACTATGTAAACTCCTTTTTCTTTCCTTTCACTAACTGTCAGAGAGATAAAATATTTATATTTTCTAAAGTTCTGTTCAGGTCAGTTAGGGTAGACCAGACTCAGGCCAGTATCCTATTAGTCCAAATTTGATGTTGGAACCAAATGAGGCACTCAGAAGTCATTAAGGTTAACAAAAAGAGGCACGTGTGCTCCCACTTATCTCCATATGGAAATGCATCTGTTCAGCAGTGCCAAATGCGGTAACTCATGCGGTCTGGGGACATACTCCAGGTCTAGAGGGCTTGACTCCACATGTGTGATTCTTTGTGTGCCCTTGGGTGATGAGGAAGCCACATCAATAAGGTCAGAAGCTACCAGGAAGCGGTGTCAAGGGAACAGTAGCTAAAGCCTTGACCGCTTGGTCCAATCAAGTCTTGGGGACAGCTTTGTTACCTATCAGGGAAAAACTAATCTAATCCATGTTGCTGGGAAAGAGAGGAAGCATTATAGGTAGTGTTCCTATCACATACTGCCCCACGGTGGCAAGGTCCTAAGAATCTTCTGCAGGGCTTCTTAAATTGTGGGTGTGACCCCATATGGGGTTATGTAACTGAATGTGGAGGTTGCAAAAAAAAAATTGGCAAGAGTAAAAGATTTCAGAATGCGTGATGACCAAAAATTAATTCAAAATCAAACATGTAATGAATCCGAGGTGTTTCTGGCAGTGCTTGCCCGTGTTGCATCACACAGCTTTATTGCAGCCTTGGTTCTGAACACACAACATGCACATTTTGCACTGTGCAAGTAGTAGTGCCACACAACACCAAGAAACACTGCTAGAAATACCTGGGCTCAGATTCGGGACTATTGTATGCTACAAATTGCAGTGTTTTCACCGTACATACATAGTGTTCTGCTCTTATAGAAACATATAACAGTTTAATTATGGAAAATAAAGAGTTTTAATATTTCCCTACAGTCATTCCTCAGAACGTCAGTATCAAATTAGTACATCTTTTGGTTGTATTGTGTTAGAATGTTTGGTTTTTAAAATTGTTATCTCCTTTTACAGAAACGTTAAGTATTTAATTGCAGCAAGTAAAGACAAAAGCTCTTTAATAGTATTTCTCCACCATCACAGCTGTATGTATATGTAAGTGTGAATATGAATTTTTAGAATTAAGCACAAACAAATGTAGTTTCATAAACTAAAGCTAGTATTTATTTGATAAATTATTAACACTATTTATTTATATTTTAGGACAAAATTATTTTTCAGTTAGAGATAAGTGGCTAAATTTGGACAGAAAAGGTAAAAATACTGACGACAATGCAGCAGAATCTTTGCTACCAGGCTGTAGTACACCTAAATTGATAAGGAAAAGAAAATACGTTGAGTCATTTTTGCAATATGGATTTATTTCTAATAATGATGATGATATGGAAAAACCCTTTTTCTTTTTTTTTTTACACTTTTTTTTCCTTTTTTTGGGCTAGGCAATGGGGTTGAGTGACTTGCCCAGGGTCACACAACTAGGAAGTGTTATGTGTCTGAGGCCGGATTTGAACTCAGGTACTACTGACTCCAGGGCTGGTGCTCTGCCCACTGCGTCACCTAGCTGCCCCCAAACCCATTTGCTTAATTTGTAATGAAGTTTTGGCTGAGGAGAGCATGAAATGAGCCAAACTAAAATGACATCTTAATACCAAGCATGCAGCACACTGCAATAAATCAAAGGAATATTTTGGACAACTTTTAAAATCTCCAAATAAAGAAAGAAAAGAAATTTGTTACTGTCAACAAAAAGTATTTACTTACATCTTACAAAACTTATTTAATTGCAAAAACTAAAAAAGCCCTACACAATAGGAGAAGATCTCATGTTACTTACTGCTATTAAAATGTCAGAAATAATTCATGGGAAAAAGTATGAGGATGAAATTTGTAAAATTCCTTTACTCAATGATACTGTTTCCAAAATTTCTGAAATTAGTAATAACCAATTCCACCAGCTCATTACCAAGCTTAAGGGCAGCCCAAAGTTTGCAATTCAGTTAGATGAAATAACTGATATTTCTAACATGGCATAGTTGTTACTTTATGTAAGATGTGTTTATGAAGGAAGCATACATGAAGAATTATTGTTTTGTGGCCGTTTGGAAGGGCATACAAGAGGGGATGATTCATTCTAAAGTCGATGAATTTTTCACAATGAAGGTTTATGGTGTAAAAATAGCGTTGGAGTCTGTACAGACGGTGTTGGGGCAATGATGGACAAGAATGTTGGATTTGTAGCAAAAGTGAGAGCTGGTGTAATGAACATATCACTTTTATTCACTGTGTGATCCATTGGGAGGCACTCATAGCCAAACAAACATCACCAGAGTTAGATGTTGTGCTTCGTGATACTATCAAAATCATTAACTTCATTAAAAGCTGTGCCCTTAACATTGTTTGTTTTCAAACTTTTGGAAAGACATGGACTCTAGTTACAAAAGCTTATTACTACATGCAGAGGTGAAGTGGCTCTCAAGAGGGTGAAATTTAAGCAGATTATTGAAACTGAAAGATGAAGTTGTTATATTTTTGACTGAGCAGAAATCCAATTTTGTTAATTTTTTTATAATAACTTATGGCTTTCAAAACTGTTATTTGTCAGATATTTTTGAAAAACTCAATGATTTAAACTTGTTGATTCAAGGAAAAAATTGTAACATTTATGCTAAAAGATAAAATTGAAAGTTTTACTAAAAAGTTAATATATGGAAGAATAGGATGGAAAATCATTCTTTAGAAATGTTTACAACTACAGATGATTTTATAATTGGAAATAACCTTTCCACAGATTTAATTGTAAGAGTTATAATTGATCATCTGAAGTTCCTGGAGACAGAGTTTCAAAAATACTGACCTTCAAATTTTGATTCTAAAAAACTAAGTTGGGTTCATAAACCATACTCAACTGAAATAAAAAACGTCAATCATTTGCCATTAAAAGTTCAAGAAGAATTTGCCAAATTATCAAGTAGCACAGGTTGAAAACTTGAGTTCCCTAAAAAAATCATTAAACTAATTTTAGCTTGGGATTAGGATAGAATTTCCAACAATTTCTGAAATGGCCTTAAACATACCTCTGTCATTTTGTACTATGTATTTATACAAAGTGGCATTCTTAGCACTGATGATTATAAAATCAAAATATCAATCACCTCTAAAAAACTTTGATAATGCTTTACGTTCTGTAGTATCAAATATTATGCCAAGATTTAATTCTTTATGTAAAAATAAACAAGCACATCTATCTCATTAATATGCAAACTTGCTTTCATCTTTATTAAATGGTAAAATTATATGTATACCAAAGAATTGTTTTAAAATAAATTTCTTTTTGATTTATTATCAGTAAATGTTCATTAGAAATGTTTGATTTGATCCACAAGTGTATTTTATTTTAAATACTTATATATCATGTAAAAATTTCTCAGGCAAAAAGGGGTCATAAATGGAAAAAAGTTTAAGAAGCCCTAGAGCAATGGTGTTAAACTCAAATAGAAACAGGGGTCACTAAACCATACATAAGGATCCCTGTGGGGCTGCAAATCGACTCTGTTTTAAACTGTGGTATTATATATGCTGTATTGTATTTATATATATTTTGTTAAATATTTCTCAATTGCATTTTAATCACTCAGGAGTGTTCTGGACTGCATGAAGCCTGTGGATGGCATGTTTGGTACCTCTGTTCTAGAGGTCCTTCCACCATTTGAATGCTTTTTGTGTTTTTATTCAAAAATCCTGCTGGCATAGGAGTAGTACGAAGGGGAGTAAGATGAAGAAAAAAGAAAAAGAAAATTTTAAAAAGTAAAAACAAAATATACAGAACAATAACAAAACAAATTAATACCTATCCCTATCCCCCCTACCCCCCCAAAAAAAAAGTTACCATAGAGAAAAAGAAAAAGGTTGGAGAACAAATGCAAGAAATCTCAAACTTTTCCTACTCCCTTCAGAGGGACCAAGTCTCAGATCTCAAAGATCTGGGGTAATTCCAAATATCTGCAGTTCACTGTGAGTCACATGTTGCAGATGACTAGAAGCAATACCATCAGGGACACAGCACAGATGAAGAAACTTCCAATACAGTCACACACAGATTCTTCTCCCACTGTAACGATGGGTGACAATGATAAGAACATCAGGAACATAGCACCTTTGGCATAATCAATAATTCTTCATCACATGACAGTCATAAGTAGAAAGTGATTAAGAGATCATAAGCTTCTTCCACAAAACCTGTCCAGAATCTAGCTTGATAACGAGACTTTTCTCCATTACCCCTTCCCTGCCTCCACCTATTCAGTATTCCGGGGCACACATGCCAAAACCTCCCCCCTTCCTGGGAGCCACATTAGGATCCATCAGTCAATAAACATTTATTAAGTGCCTGCAGATGTAAGACCTGAGTTCAGGGGAAAGGGCTCTCCTCTTCACATGGGAGGCTCTTCATATCAAGGGAGGTGGGTGAACAGGATAACTGGTGGAGCAGGAGGTAGAAGTTACCTTGTGCTGGTGCAGATGGATAGCACCTAGGAATCTGAGACTGGATAGCAAGACTGGATAGCAAGCCTGTGTAGCGTCAGATGGAAGATGTAGTCAGAGGGAGGTCATTCCTCTTCTCACCTGAGGCTGGAGATCAGGTGGGAAAACATGAGGAAGAAGATAGTCAATAAACATTTATTAAGTACCTACTTACCAGTGCCAGGCACTGTGCTAAGTGCTGGGGATACGAATACCCTTTTTGTAAATAATACAGAATTCCTTTCTTCAAAGTAAATGCACATTCACTATTGTAGGTGAAGCTCTATCACCAGCATCATCTTAGTTCAGGTTCAGTGTTAGGATGAAAGGAAGCGCTCATAAGTCATTGAACATTTAACAAAGAATGTTTACGGTGCCCTAACATAGCAAGAACATACAACAAGGATAAAATGATACTTAGCTTCTTGAACTTTTCTTTTGTCTTCATCTGGAAATGAGTCTGTTCAGTATATCATCAGGGTTTAGTGACTTGCAAGGTCTTAGACATTTACCAAGTCTAAGAGACTCTGACTTTACATGGCTGGAACTTTTTACGCCCCAAATGATCTAGAAGCCACGTCAGAGAAACTGAGGCAAAACTGTTCTAAGGGGCAGCTTTGTCCTATCAGATATATAGCAAGGTACCTTTCAGCAATACCACCTACTTTTCCTCCCAGGTATTGTCAAAACCGTTCCAGAGCAAAGAAAATCTACCAGTTGAGAGGGAATTCATTCAGTTGTTTCAGTTGTGTCTGACTCTTTGTGACCCCATTTGGATTTTCTTAGCAAAGATACTGGTTTGCCATTTTCTTCTCTAGCTCATTTTATAAATAACAAAACTGAGGCAAACATGATTAAGTGACTTGCCCAGGATCACATAGCTACTAAGTGTCTGAGGCCAGATTTGGACTCAGGGAGATGTCTTCTGACTCCGGGCCTGGCACTCTATCTACTGTGCCACCTAGCTGTCCTGTTGAGAGGGACTTAAGGTATTTCTTTTTTTTTTTTTTTGACCTAAGCTATTTCTACAGGGCAAGGACCTCAAGACTCATGCAACTTTGTGCTGTGCAAGAAACAAGAGGGACAACTGGAACTATGTCCGCAAGCAGTTCATTCTTATCAGGTAAATCTTCTCTGGAGACTAGATGCAGGAAACCACTGGAATGGAGAGCCCTTTCCTTTCCTAGAGTGGCATTAATTCATCACAAGCATGATTTCTGGGTAGTCAGACATCTGACCTGGGCAGTCAGGTGCATGATGATGGAGATATTGTTTGGCAAGATCAAACTTTTTGCCCTAAGATGGGTTAAGAGGGATATGATTCCAAGTGGAGACAGGTTGAAGCCCACTTAGGTGAGGCAACTACTCCAAAAGACCCAGTCAGAAGTAACATCAGCTAGAGAGTAAAGAGTCAAGGACTCAAGCCTGAGTAACTGATAGGATAGTGGTATCTTTGACTGTAATGGGGAAGTTAAGAGAATTCTGTGGTAAAGATCAAGCTCATTTTTGGACATGTTGAATTTAAAATGTCTAAGGTACTTACAGAACATCTAAGATGTCCAATGGGCAGTTGGAGATGTAAGACTGGAGGTCAGGAGAGACATTAAGGATGGATAAATATATCTGAGAATCATCTGCAGAGAGATGATATGGGAGCTGATGAGATCACCAACAGAAATAGTTTACAGGAAGTCTTCTTGGCCCTCTTGAGCCCAAAACAGAGGTTTTGAAAGAGGCACTCATAGTTAGTAGGCATGACCTGAATGAAGATGCAGCAAAGGAGACTGAGCAGGAGACATCAGATAGGAAAGAAGAGATTCAGGAAAACCTAGAAAGAAGAGAGTATCAAGATGAAATGGGTAATCGATAGCATCAGAAGATGCAGAGGTCAAGAAGAATGAGTGAGAAAAGACCATTAAATCTGGAAATTAAGAGATCATTGATAATCATGGAGAGGGCAATTTCAGCTGAATGATTAAGTCAAAAGCCATATTGCAGAAGTAAGAAGAAATTGAAAGGAAAAGAACTGAAGGACTGATTATAGATGGCCTTTTCAAGGCATCTAGTCACAAAAGGAAGAAATATAGGATGATAGCTAACTGGTATGGTTATATCAAATGAGAATTTTCTAATGATGGGCATGTAAGCAGTAGGGAAGCTGCCAGTACATAGGAACACTGAAGCTAACTGAAAGAGTATGGATGATTAACTGGCAGTCTGTTGGAGACAGAATCAGACTGCTTATGTAGTTTTTGTAAAAGCATTTGCCTCGGTAAATCTTCCTGTGGGACAAGGTGAAGGAGATCGTGGCAGAAAGCATCTGATGAGTGACAGGAGATGAGGAAGAGAAAAGAGGGAAGCTTACAGTTAAATAGCCTCAATTTTTTCTTTAAAATATGAAGCAAGGTTCTCAGATGAGAGTATAGGACAAGGGAGTATTACGGGAAATTTGAGGAGGGAAGAAGAGGTTTGGAAAAGCCTTTATGGCGAGTGGACAGTGAGTCAATTAGGAAGGTGTAAAAATATTTGATTGCATTGTTATAGTGAGGGCCCAACTGAGATTATTAAACACAAATTTATCATGGACCCAGTCAGCAACCAAATTATCCACGGCAAGTTTTTAGAAAGCGTGACCACTCTTCTCCATTAGTTCCATCAGCTTCTTCCACTACCACTTTATTGCTTCCTAGATGTGCAAGTTGAGAATTCCTTTGCCTATGTAGATATTCTTAAGGTTCATCTTGCAAGAGGAAAAGACTGTTATGAAAACAAAGAAAAAAACAAAACCCCCCAAAACAAACAAAAAAAAACCCCAAAGGCAAGCGGAGGATATGAAATTTCCTTCAAGCTGAGAAATTGCCTATTCTAAGCTGCTGCTTATTTTTATGGAAAACCATTCTAGATTACATCAGTTTAAACCTAAGAGCCTATTTCTAAATGAGACCTGTGGTCTTTTCATCAAGATTTAAAAATTTTCCTTTTTAAATGCACCTGAAAAAGATTCGCTGTTTCTCTTACTCTTCTTGGGATAGGCAGGGCGAGTAACGGACTATGTACTTTTTTAAGCAGGGAGGGAGCCCAATAAAAACTTAGGATCCTGGGCAGAGAATCCGGGTGCTGCAGTCTGTCGATTCACCAACCCGCCCAAAATGGACATTTCATCAGCTCATCCAGTGCCTCATTTCCTTCCATCACACTGCACTGGCAAGCTTTCTATCATCTAATTCAAACCCTTCATTTTACAAAGAAGGAAGCTCAGGCAAACGAAGCCATTCGCTCAAGGTCACAGTTTCCAGGTCTGTACCCACGACCTTGTCCATCTTTTCCTCCCTCCAGTCCAAGTGCGGACTTAGAAACAAAAAGGGGGGCTCAGAGTCCTAGGGCGAGCAGCCTCTCTAGCGCCCGAAGCGAGACCATCGGGGCCGCTGCCAGATGCCAGCACAGCGCTGCCCCGCCCTGTCCCTGAGGTCCCAGGCGCTAACCAAGCGTTAGGCCCCGGTCCACCGGCCTGCCACCTTCGCCTTTTCCCACACCCACCACACTAGTCACTCCAGCAAGCAAAGCTGAAAAAGGGGCGGGAGGGAGCAGAGACGGACGAAGAGATTCGGCGGGGGGAGGGGACAAAGCCTCGCCCTGTACCGCCCTCCTCTCGCGTGGCGTGGAAAAGGGAAGTAGGGTAACGAACGAGCCCGGCTCAGCCAATGGAAGCGCGGCAAGCAAAGCGGAAGGCCCGTGATTGGCAGCCCTCAGGCCCTGCACTCTCCTCCAAAGTCCGCCCTCTAAGGCTGCAGAGCCCGGCCCCGCCCCCTTTCTTTCTCGGCTCCTCCTGCTTACTCTTCCCGCAGCCCTTCGCTCCTCTCTTCTAATCTGTGGCAGTGGGCGGTTTTTCCTGTTCTGTGCTCCATTTTATCTTCTCTGTGTGCTCGCCAAACGGCGCGTGGGGCTTCGCTACTCGCTCCCTTTGGGTTGTTTTTCTCCCTTTCTAGCTCTTGGCCCGCCCCCCCTTCTTTTTTTTTCTCTCTTCCTCTTTCATCCTCTGCCCCCCGCCATGAATGAGGAGTACGACGTGATCGTGCTGGGCACCGGCCTCACGGTGAGGGCTGGGAGGGGGAAGGGAGGGGAGGAGGTTGGGCCGCTGGGGGGTGGGGGTGGGGTGGGGGCAGGCCGTGACCGCCCGCTGGTGGGGGGAGGGGAGGAGGCTTGCTCTTGGAGGGCGTGAACAGCGAGGGGGAGTGGGGGGAGAGGGGCTACCCTCTTGGGAGCGCGCGTTGTGCAGTTTGGGTCCGGTGACAGCGGCCGCCGCCCCGCCCTCTAACGCCTCCTTCCTCCAGCTTCCTGCTTTTATTCTCTTCTCCAGCTGTCCTCCCTTCCCCTGACAGATTTATCCGTATCGGCGCGGTTGGATCTGATACGTTGCATCCTTAACCTATAGCTACAGTGTGATGGGCGTTTGTGGGAGACAGGGCTTTAGAAGGGGGCCGTTTGGTTTGTGATTTTGTAGCTCCTTGATCTAGGTTTGATACACACATCTTTCCCTTAAAATAATGTGTTGGGAGGGGGTGTGCCTCGGACAGATAACAATTTTCACCAGTTGGGGATAAGGACTTTTGGAGGAGCTTAAGTAACCATCCCTCCATCTCCTCGTGGCAGCTTTCCCTGTCCCTTCCTTTTGTAAGAGGGCCCAGGAAACGGTTTAAATCACTGAAGGGAGGGAAGAGGTCTAGAATTAAATTTTCTACTTCCTTCAAAGCGGATGAGACTTGGATAATTTTTAACTAAACAAAATCCAGCTCTGTAGCCGGGACTTGACTTGTGTCTCTTTCCCCTCTTGGTTGATGACCTCTCCAGATGGGAGGGAAGAAGAGCGCTTGGCCGAGGGAAGTAGGGAGGGTTTGGTTCGTTCAGTTACTAAAATTCAATCTCTTGCAGTAGTAAGCCGGCAGAGGGATTGTATGATGTGAGAAGGTATTGTGTGATAACTGTTAAACGTTAGCTAATTCTGAAAAGCTTTGAGTGCAGCATCTAAACACGTTTCCTTTTTTTCCCCCCTTAAAGTAAGAGACATAGGTCTAATGGATGCCAAATGTTATTTTGAGTTTTTTAGTTTTAGCAAAACCTAGCTTCTCCCTTATGGACAATGCCTTTTACTTCCCAAACTTAACTACATGTTTACAGGCTAGAAATGACAAAGACTTGCTGTTAAATTTTGGGTTTTTCGTGTTTTCTTCTATTGGGTCTTTTCTCTTTCCTACTAAGATGTGGGTTAATGGATAGTAAAAGGCACAAATAACTCCATGAGAGCTTCTTCAGAGACTTGGAAGAGAAATCAATATATAGCTATGTGAGTGCTTTCTTTACTCCATAAATGGCTTTGCCTAATTTGAATGGTTTGTGTGGAGGAAGGGAACAAAAAAGTGCTTTTAGGTCCTGTCCTTAACTCATATGTTAGGTTTTTTTTCATATCAGAGTTAAACATACTTAATATTTTAGCATTCCCATTATTGTATTTTTTCTCAAAAGATTATGGCTGTCTTTTTAAACACATTTTAAGTTTGGATAATTGTGATCCTATTAATGCTACGGTATAAAAATACCAGTAAAAGACTTTTTTATGACCTTGGCATATTTTATTGAATTCTAATGACCTGTATACTTTTGGGTAACTTACTCAGCAAAAAAAAAAAATACAGAAAAAGTAAGTTCTCTGTATTGCATATCATTATATGGTTTATTTTAAGCTGAATAAATATTTGTTGGCTGAATGAACAAATTAGTATTCATAAGGAAAAACAGTGTTGGAGGATGGGGTCAAATTGATTTAAACTCCACCCATAAAAAATCTTAAAATGTCTTTGAGCTGTATCTTGTCCTAGGCGTTGTTTTGTGTCATCTGACTCATCTTAAAATTTCTGAGTCTGTGTTAAGCTTTTTTTTTTATATTCAGTAAGCAATATTTAAATGTATCTGTCTTCTGTAATCCAAGTCTAAAAGACATGCTTATACTAGTATTAATCACTTTTGATTGATATTAAAATGACAATTTTAAGCTTTCATTTGGTTGGTTAAACTTTTATAAAATAGTTACTAAAAATTAATATGACCTTTTTTATCTATCACTTCAATATTTATAGTGTTTTTTGGTGTTATTTATATTCATCTATTACATTAGATTAGATAAACTAAAGCTATAAACTGTTATCAAAGAAATATAGCTATAGCATGGGGATTGAAAAAATGGGTACCTGTTATGAAATTATTTACCTACCTGAAAATCTTTTTAATGATTTTGAATTGAATTTTGAATTTTAGAGATTGAGTTGAGTCTCTGTGTGATATATTGGAAAGCTGAAAGAAAGCGACTGTGTACATAGTTTGTGGTGGGTTAGATCAGGTAGCAAGAGCATAGTACTAAGTCCATCATCTTAGACTTAGTTCCTTGCGTGAACCTTCATTTTTGCAGTATGGTTGTGAATTTTCAGTGTTTTTCACTTAGAAGGGTAGGCAAGAGCCAGCATGGGTTCATCAAAAACCATGCCAGATTAAACTCATTTCTTTTTATTGTCAGGGTGACTAGATCAGGAGAGTGCTTTGGACTTGGAGTCAGGGGAGAATTGATTTTGAATCCTGACTGACACTTACAAGTTGTGTCACCATCAAGCAGTTCACTGAGTTTCAGTGTTCTCCTCTGTAAACTGGAGAAATTATACCTATAATTTTAATCTCACAGGGTTATGATGATCCTCAAATGAGATGACTGTCAACTGGTCCTCACCTAGCTGCCCCTTACATATTATAGGGGGAAATAATAGGTGCAGCACGTATACGTATGTGCAAAATAAATAGAAGTGATTTAGAAAAATGGTAGCACAGGAGTGGGGAACCTGTGGCCTGGTGGTCATTTGAGGACTTAGACGGCCACATGACCGTAGGTTCCCTACTCTTGTGCTGGATATTAGGAGCTGGAGGAATTGGGGAAAGACTTCATATTGAAGGTGATATTTGAGCTGAGCTCTGAAAAAAACCTAGGAATTCTAAGAACTGGAGATGAAGAGAGTGCACTCCAGGCATGGGAGAAAGCTTGTCAGTGGCACCAAAATGGAGTGTCTTGTTTGAAGAATATCAAGATAATCAGTTAGGTTTAACCAAAGTGTGTTTGAAGGAGAGTAATGTATAATAAGACTAGAAAGGTAGGTTGGAGCCAGGCTGTGAAGGACTCCAGGTTGTGAGTATTTAGTCTGAAGAAAAAGCTTAGGTGTTATATGTGTTAGAAATCTTTAAATATTTAGAGATAGCCATATAGTTAAAAGGCATTAGGCTTATTCTGCTTAGTCCTAAACATAAAAATCCTAATGGTGAAAGTTATCCAAAATTAGAATGAATATTTTGCTATAGTGAGAGGCAGTGTGGTGAAATGGACAAAGAACAATGCTCTTTGAAGTCGAGAAGATCTGGGTTTCTGCCTTTGACACTGAATGTGTGACGCCTGGCAAGTCACTCAGCCTCTCAGGGCTCTAGGCAGCTCTTTTAGACTATAATTTCAGAGAAGGTGGCAGCCTGCATTGGTAGAGGAAATTTCCTCACCTAGAAGTTATCTTTACCAGTGAAATCACAGGTCCACTTTCCATCTCTGTCTCTTATGTTCCCACTGGAGATGTTGGAATGTTATAAAGCCGGATTTATGATTTGGATAGATGTTAGACTAGGTGACTTATGAGGTCCCTTGTTTGGTCATTTTTAACATTAACATAGTAATAAGCCAGATGCAGTTTCTGTTGCTTTATTAGAGTCAATCTTTGATAGTTGGCAAATTAAGTACCACAGAATGGTCTTAATTTTATTTCACAATAGGTTAGAAAGAAATTTACAATATTGCTGTTATATCACTGTAGTTCCCTTTTGTTTCACTGGGGCTTTACAACAATTTAGACATTAAAAGGTACGTTAGACTATTCCATTGGATTATTGATCACTAAAAGTAACCCAATCACCTTTAAAAAAAAAAAAAGAAAAATTCTGATTCTTTAGCAGTGGTTCAAATGAGTTGTATCTTTGTTATGTTGTAAATGTGGGTTTTGATAGCAGTAGAAAGTTGAGAAGACCTTTTGTTTTTAGAATTTCAGAGCTAGAAAATAAGGAGACTTAGAAATGATGTAATCCAACCACATTCTTCTAAATATGTGGAATAGAGGCCCACAGAAGTTAGTGAATGGCCCAGAATCACACATACTGAGCAAGTGTCAGAAACAGGGCTAGAACCTAATTCTCCTGATTCTCAATGAAGTGTTTTTGCAATAAACCGTTATACCAACCTACCTCCTCTTGATTAGCATATGGCCAAGTATATTTAGGGTTCTAAATTTTATTAAAATGTGTTAAAATTATTCTGTGGGCTATTAAAACATATATTAATTTTTATGTTTCCTCCTACATTTAAACAATTTACATTTTAAGCAATTTGGGTAGGTCACTCCCACTCATGCAAGAAAACATGAAGTGCTAAATGATTGAAGTCATAACCTGGATACTGAAAATAATGCTATAATTTTGGTCTGATTTTTTTTGGTACATGTTGTCATTCTGGTCAGTGAATGTGCTCCAGTTATGGAAATTAACAGTGGATAGTATTTGGTAACATCTAAACCAGGCCTGTACACCCTGCAGCCTACCAAAGGATTTCAGGCCATCCACAAGAAATGTTGAGGATATTTTCCTCTACGTTTTTGGCCAGTCGCCTGAAATCCTTTGGTGGGCGGCAGGTTGGGCAGGTTTGATCTAAGCTAACGTTTTTGGCATGTTAATTTACATTTCACTTATCAGGTAGGAGTCATTAATAAAATGCTGAAGCTATGCCATTAAAAAGCAAATGTAACTGATAATGGGATTGAAGATTAAATGCAGGAAAAACTCATTTGGAGTAACATTTTGGTATTAGTGCTCTTTTGACCCAAGTACAGTTCTTTGTGTACTGCTAATGGAATGTAATTGTGTCTATGTCTTGGTAAACTGTGGTCACCCTTGGTAAAAACTTGGTTTCTTTCTTTTTTTTTATGGCTCTCAACATGAATATTTTCGGATACATTTCTGTCTCTAGAG